CATTATAGATTGTGTTGGCATAATGGTTTAAGATTACTCTGAATGCTTCTTCTTTTTAATCAGTTTCTTCTCTTCTTGGGTTATGCTAAAAGACAATAGTAATGGCAATTAGTGATGAACTGGACTTACATTACCAAAACTGATTTTCACATCTAACTGAAAAGAAGGTTGAGGTGATCTTTCTTTCGTTATTTAAATGACATTGTAATAGTAAATTAAATCCATTATTTTGGCATGCTAAATGATTAAGCAGTATTTTGTCTAAATACTTGGTGTTGTTTCTTTGGGGAGTAGTATATAATTCATCCTGTTTAGATTGATTTTGTCTAATGATTTAGCTTGATTTTCCTTCTTTCTGAAATGTTGAGTGAAATGGGATACATGACAAATAAACACTCCAACTCTCCAAGTATGCTAGGATTTACATCTGTCCCGATAAGTGTAAAAACTCCAATTAAGAAAGTGAATACGGAAAAATAGAGAAGAAGGTTTATTTGGGCAAGTCATTGTTACAAAACAATCAAATACAATAACCGAAACATACATTTCAAATATTATTCCATTACATATGAATTTTTTCTTAACAATCCGTCCTACAATATATTTGCAAATTTTTGGCTTTCTTTGTGTTTTATGTATATAAAATTATGAAATTTTAGTTTCCACTCATTTAGAGGTACCTTCTTCTTTTTCAGTTCTCGTGACTTCAACTCGTCAAGTAGTGTTCTATAGCAGATCTGTGCAATCTTTATTTTAACTTCATTTTTCTTATCCTATTGATTTCATTTTTTAACTTCATTTTTCTTATCCTATTAATTTCCTTATATGTGCAGTTTTTTTAAAGATCTCTGACTCCTCTGAGTATCTCAAGTCCTTATTACAGAGTGCGTACCACCTGGCCACTTCCAAAGAATTGATTGTAAACTTTATGGATTATGAGAATTGTTTAAGTTGAATAGGTGAATATTTGGTTCACTACAGGATATCCATGACAACTAATGGATATTATTTCTTCTTCACTACAGCTAGATCATCGTCGTTTGATAGTAATAATGTTAATATCACCTTATCCTTAAATCTATTTATGAGGGTTTAATTTTTGTTGTTGTTGCAAGTTTTGTAATAAATAGTAGGATAAACATTTCTCTGATTTCTGCCTCGGGTTTTATTAACTCTTATTTCTATGTAAAATTTGTATTCCTCATCATGCTATTTTTTTAGATTTCTCTGAAGGGGTGAAAGAAGAATACTCTTTTCACACTCCATGCACAATATTTTAGCTTTTTAATCAAGTTGTAAATATTTGGAATCTTATTAATAAAGATCTCCCTTTATAATTTTCGATTACTTTTAAGTTGCACTTGATTGATTTTATCATCTCTCAATTTTAACATTTTTTATGTGCACTAAACTTGTAAGAAAAAATTATTTCTACAATAGCGTAGGATGCATGCAGAAGCCTCTCACGTTGTTTGTGATGTTTTTTGTTGTTTCTTTACTTGGAATAATTGGAAGATTACATTATTCCAAGTGTACAATCTGAGCTCATTAAAAATGATTCATTATAAGCAAATTAGAGCCCGTTTGGTGACCTTTTTTTCGGCTTATCAGGCTTATCAGCTAGTTTTTTCACCTAACACGTAACTTTTGATTTCACGGGCTGAATTGTGTAATAAGCAGAAAAAGTAAAGTTGCAGTTACTTTTCTGGCTGTATTGGCTGAAGTTACTGTAGAGGATCATTTTAGCTATTTTTTCATATATTTTTTATTTTATTTATTAATAACAAATATTTTAATTATAATTTTTTTCATGAATCAGCAAAATCAGCCAATACAGTCACTTCAGCCAGAACTTCATAAATTTTAGCAGAATCAGCCAATTTAGCCAATTTTTAGTGTTACCAAACGGGCTCTTAGTCTATATCTAAACAAAAGTACACACTTTGACTCAGTTTCACAATGACCTTATTCATTTATTTGGACGTTTTTATGTAGTCAAATATCATTATTTTCTTTTATAAAATATGACATATTCACTCTTATAAAGTTTGGAATGTTTGTATTGTTTTTATTATTTTGTCTAAACTATTGTGGGCTTTGTTTATCTTTTCCTATTATTTTTAGCAATTTATTTGGACATTGGCTGTTTGGATACCATTTAAATTGGCTGAATCTGCTGAAATTGATGAAATTCTGACTGAAACACCTGAATTTTTGAATCTACTAAATTATGAAAAATTATTTAAAATGTATTTTGTTAATCAAAACTCATATGAAAAATAGTTAAAAATATCTTCTACAAATCAGTGTGAAATCAAGAGTTACGTGTGTAGTAAAAAAAATTGACTAATGAGACTGATAAGCTGAAATTAGGGTTTAGACACGGGTTCTAAGAATACAAAATTTGAGATGTTAGGATGTTTTCCAATATTTAAATTTCTACAAAATTTATGATTTTTTCAAATGTTAAATTAACATTTCATTAGTATAAACAAGAAGCCTAAAAAATGCATTAAAACACTGACATCGAATATTGGTCAATAAATTAATAGTCCCTTCTCACATTGAAGTGATGTACTTTTACCAATTGTGAAATCTCAAAGTAGAAATTGTTTATTGAAATTTTGTGTGAAGGTATGAAGGGTTGTAATTTAATCATTGTACTCAATTTATCCTTGAGTTCTTACTCAAACATCACATTTATATAGTAATATAGTAATGTTCAATGTGACCATCCCCCATTTTTAGTTTTAAATATTGAAAACTCTATTTTATATATGTTAAAAGTCTAATTTGTAATCAATTACGGAGTATAAATTACTAACAAAACCGTGACAACCCGTGCGGATGCACGGTACCGTACTAGTATTCTACGAAATTAAACGACCTACCGCAAGCATTACAACACCAAACCCTAGATGTGCACGGAAGAGAAGCCATATATGGATTCTTCAAAATCACGATTTGTTCCTCACAAATCCGAGCCATATATGGATCCTTCAGAAAGACGATTTGTTCCTAGCTTTTCCGTTCGGTATTTTTGGATTCACCCTTTCTCTACCATCTTCTTTTTCCTAAATGTGTTCGATTGTTTTCTGCAATCATACTTTTGCATCTTATTATTCTCCTTCTTAACTCATCATATATTTAAATTTGTATCATATTTATTTATTCAGAGGTCGTTTTTCTTATCTAGAAGTTTTAGGGTTGTTTCAAGTATGTAGTTTCGAATGATTAATAGTAGTAATATAAATCTAAAAGACTATTTATTTGAAAAGAAAACGTTAATATGAAACCAAGGGAGTACTATCCTTTTAACCTTTTGATATATTGTGTTTGCTCTGTTTATGATCGTTCAATGATTCTAAGATATAAAATCAGAGTTCTTGATGAATTCGTTTCGCGGTTTTTAGTTTGGTGTTTTGTATGGTTATAGAGTGGTCTACGCTGACCACCTTATTGATTCCATTCTTGATGAGCAAGTCTTATGGAATTAGTTTTTATATCATCTTAATGAATTCATGAGTATTACATGTTTGTTTGGTCCAGGTTAGAATAATTGGTGAGCAGACAGTCAAACACATTTTTTTGGGGTTATATATGTACGTGTGTATGTCTAGTACGTAGTGCTATTGGGAGATTTGGGAACAGAAATAGAATCAATAGAAGCAATAAAAGAACATGAAGCAGGAGATAACTGATTGTACGACACAAATGAAGAAATAGGATGAGTACAAGACCGTGTACCTTTACGTAGTGCTATTGGGAGATCAAGATCTGATGTGGAGACAAGATCTGAAGATGCAGGTACTGGTTCAGGACATTAGATCGGAGTCGAACTAGTATCAGGAAAAGTAATCACAGGTATCGCTGGTGGAGGGTGATCAGGTGCTTTGTGTCGACGGGTGTATACCAAATGTACAGGAGGCCTAGGGTCAGGAACAGTAACTTGTGGAATATTTGTCGAAAGTGTGGACTCGAGAATAGTCATCGTGTAAATGAGAATATCATCATTACTCTCACGAATATCTGCCTTAGATGATGAAATAGGTGTATTTTCATGAAATGATGCATCAATAGAAACAAGATACCGACCAGTACTCAGACAAAAACATCTATACCCCTTTTGGACTCGAGAATAACCCAAGAAAATACATTTTAATGATTTCGGATCTAACTTTGTTAGATGAGGATTAACATCTCTAACAAAACAAGTGCAACCAAATATTTTAGGTGGGATAGGAAAAAGCTCTCTGTTTGGAAATAGACAATGATAAGGAGCTTTACCATTCAAAATAGAAGATGGCATTCGATTTATCAAAAAACATGCAGTAGACACGACATCTGCCCAAAACTGTTTAGGCACATTCATTTGGAAGAGAAGAGCCCTTGCAGTTTCTAACAGATGTCGGTTCTTTCGTTCCGCAACTCCATTTTGAGGAGGTGTATCAACGCATGAAGTTTGATGAATAATGCCATGTTGAAGCATAAATGACTTAAATGTAGCAGATAGATATTCTTGGGCATTGTCTCCTCTTAACACCCGAACAGGAACTTTAAACTGAGTTTTAATTTCAGCACAAAAGGAAGAAAAATGAGTGAACAACTCAGATCGGCGTTTCATGAAATACAGCCATGTCATACAAGAATAGTCATCAACAAAGGTAACAAAATATTTAAAACCAACTTGAGACACAACCGGGCAAGCACCCCAAACATCAGAGTGAACAAGGTCAAATGGAGCATTTGCTCGTTTATTAACTCACGGGCTTGGGGACTTGGGGCCTTACTCTTTGGACGGAAAAGATGGTGCAACTTTGATTTGGGAAGAATGGTTCATTGTTGATCACCTATTCACAATGAAAAGAGAGTAAAAGTAAAACAATTAATTGACTAAATAAAGAATTCCTCCTTCCATGTAAACAATGGAAACTGTTGAAATATAAACTAGAATAATATTGAAGAGTGGAGGAAAGATTTTCTATGTGTTTCATTGAAGGGTAAGGCCCTATAAATATAGATTACAAAGATAGAATATTCCTATAAAAGATGCTATACAATAATACTATATATGGTATATTCCTAATATATTCTAAAGCATATTCTAAAGTATATTCTAATATACTTTCACACTCCCCCTCAAGTTGGAGCATAGATATTTATCATGCCCAACTTGTTACATAAATAACCAACTCGAATTCCATTTAGTGCTTTAGTGAACAAATCTCCAAGTTGTTCCCCAGTCTTCACATATCCTGTAGAGATCAATCCTTTTTGTATCTTCTCTCCAATAAAATGACAATCGACCTCAATATGCTTTGTTCTCTCATGAAATACAGGATTTTTTGCTATGTGTATAGCAGCTTGGTTATCACACCACAATTTAGCAGACATTGATGTCTTCAGTCCGAGCTCGGTCAATAAATGACTTATCCATATGATCTCACATGCAGATTGTGCCATAGCTCGATATTCTGATTCGGCACTCGAACGAGAGACCACATTCTGCTTCTTATTCTTCCAAGATACAAGATTACCACCAACAAAGACACAATAACCAGATGTAGATCTTCGATCATCTTTAGAACCGGCCCAATCAGCATCTGCAAAACATTCTATTCTCATGTGATCATGGTTTTGATAAACAATACCTCGTCCTGGTGCACCCTTTAAGTAACATAATATGTGTTCTACTGCAGTCCAATGATCAATGGTTGGAGATGACATGTATTTACTCACTACACTCACAGAATAAGCAATATCTGGACGGGTGACTGCGAGATAATTAAGCTTTCCAACCAGTCTTCTATATCTTTCTGGGTCTTCAAATGGTGTGCCTTCTTGAGTGAGTTGCACGTTGGGAACCATGGGTGTTGTACTTGGTTTTGTCCCTAATTTCCCTGCCTCAGCTAGTAAGTCAAGTACATATTTACGTTGAGATAGAAATATGCCTTTCTTACTTCGTGTTACCTCAATTCCCAGAAAGTATTTCAAAGAGCCAAGATCTTTCGTCTGGATTTGACTATGCAGAAAATTCTTAAGGGCCAAAATACCTGCATATCACTCCCTGTAATCACAATATCATCAACATATACCACAAGCAATGTGACACCTGATTCTGTTTGTTTGTAAAAGACAGAGTGGTCTGATTTGCCTTTTATCATTCCAAATTGTTCAATTGATTGATTGAATTTCCCAAACCATGCACGAGGTCTCTGTTTCAGACCATAAAGAGATTTGCGAAGTCGACAAACTTCACCATACTCCCCCTGAGCAACAAATCCCGGAGGTTGCTCAATATAGACTTCTTCCTTAAGGTCACCATGCAAAAATGCATTTTTAATATCCAACTGATGTAAGTGCCAATCATGATTTGCATCGAGTGAAATAAGTAACCTGACAGATGTTAATTTAGCAACAGGGGAAAAAATGTCAGAATAATAAACACCATAGGTTTGAGCATAACCCTGTTAGTATATATGTCCTAGCGACAATCATTTCTTTAAAGACATATGTACTTGATCACATTTAGTTTTTATATTTGATATATACACGGTATTACACTTTATGAATGATTGTTTTCGATTGTCAATGTTTTATTCATAATTGTGTTCCCTTGGATTTATGTTGTCAATAAGTAAGTGGGAGCTTATATGATATAACATAAGGTCCTAAAATAGCCCCAATCAATGATCATCAAGAATGGGATATTGATGATATACGATAAGATTGGTATGTGGACTGCATCATACTTTTAGAAAGTATAGTTGATCTCACGACTATGAGTTCCTGTAATTCATGATGGTCACATAGATATTTTAGAGAATATTGGCATACCCACCGAGAAAGCATTTGATAAGTTCTATTCATGTGTCTATGGGATTATCGGCGTATAGAGTAGTGTAATAGTCCTCCGACTTGAGGTCAATACATACTACATGTGCGGAGTGATGTACTTTGACCATGACCAACGCTTGCACTCCAATCGGGGTAGATACGGCATGTGTTGGGTGCATCACGAAGCACATGGAGTAGTAGTTGAGCCAAGAAAGGATTCATTCCTCATAATAGATTAAGAGAGAACATTCTACTTCTCATATCTAGATGGATCATAAAGTCATTGGCCAATGCAAAGATATATTCGTTTTGGATATCGAATATGATCGTTATGGATCATCTAGAAAGATTGAGAGACAGAGACTGAGTTATTGGGATAGACACTATATCATGTTCTAGACTTAGTTGAATGTTCGTTGAATGAAAGGACCATATCACTATGAGCTCTATATTACAGGGAGTTTGTATAGTCCTCGCAAACGTCCTTATATATTAAGTTTGTCTGGAGAATCGTCTAGGGATTCGCTAAGACCTTAATTTGATTAGTGCTTAATATATAAGGCCCTATGGGTCACACAACAAGTGATTATACCTTCCGATTGAATTGTTAGAAGGAATTAAATATTATTAATTGGATTAAATAATATTTAATTCGTAATACTGAAAATGAATTAAATATTAATCAGATTAAACATATTTAATTCATGAAGCTGAAGGAGAGTTCTATTTGATAGAATTAATTAAGTAAGATAAATTAGATTTATCATACTTAAATAAGATGTATTTATTGTTAAATAAAGTAGATATTTTCTTTTGTAATTTGGAATTAAAAGAAAAGTAAATAAAATAAATATTAATATATAATAATTAGAAAGTGGCGTGCAGCCACATCTCAATTATTATTATTATTATTTTGTTTTGTTTTATCTACTTATTTAATTAATTAGGAGTATTGGTCCTAGTAGGATTAGAACTCATTAATTAGAAAGACTTTCATTGTGATTGAAAAACTAGTTTCGAACTAGTATAAATACATCCTTCTCCTTCATAATTTGTAGACCAGTTTTCAGATTCAGTATTATCAGTTTATTTTCCTGCGAAGAGATTTCCTAGCCTTTCTCTTAGGGAGATCTAACCGTTCTTTCGGAAAGGAGAAATCACGTGGATACCAAAGGTCAAGGATTATCACCGCTAGGCTGGAAGATCTGTAAGTTCTAACTCAGATCCGTTATTATTATCATATTCGTTATTTTGTCATAATCAGGAAGATCTGTTTGGGAAAATTTTAAACTTCCGCTGCCGTACTTTCGAGGTACGTTACATCAATTTCCAAACAGTGGTATCAGAGCCAAACTGATTCTAATGACATTATACGAATTGTATACATATCTGGTGGGTCAGAATATGTGGTTTACGCAAATGTTCCGTAGTTCTTGACCCGGTTTGTTTTTCTTTAGAAAATAGATTAGATCTCTTTGAAAACAAATTAAGAACTTTTTGTATGCATTAGCTAATTGTTTTTAGAATTTGGATTTTAAAAGCTAAATACAAAGAGATGGCCTGGACCGTAGTTAAAGGAATAGTTTTTCTTTTCTCTACCAATCTGTTCGTTTTTGTCGTCATTCCTTTTGGAGATCCACTATGGCGGACGAGATTCACGGCGAAGGATTCTGAACCTGGAAGATTAGTTCGTAGTGAAATTAGAATTCTTTTCCAGCTGGGTTGTTGAAAATTTTGATATTATTGGGATAATTTTGAAATTTTCGAAATTTAAAAAAAAAAAAAAGGGTTGATGCTGCATATGTGAGCACTTGGAGGATGGATCAGTTTACCAAACTCTAATTTTTATTTTAAGAATTAGTTTTGTTTTTGGTAAATTGGATTTTATCAAAAGCCTAAGTTTGTAAATTTGAGTAATTTTAATTTGAAGAGTTTCGGTGTTCTGCGTATCACATGCTGCATCAGCTGTAATATAATAATAACCAATTTAAAATATCCTTAATTTAATTAGATTAGTTATCTTTGAGATTTGGAAGGATTAACTTTAATTTAGCCTATTATTATATTATTGTTTAGCATGCTTTTACTTTAATTATTTGATTATTGTATCTGTTTATAAATTAGATTTATATTGCATGCTTTAATTTTATATGTTTGAGTTAGATCTCGTTAACATATTATTTGATGATATGTTTTAGCATCTTGATTAAATAGAGTAATTTAATACCCCGCTAAATGTTCCCCATAAGTTAAAATTTAAGTCTTATCTGGGATAACGACATCACCCATCATAATTAAATTAGTAGAAATATTTTTTTCGTTGAAGAATATTTCACCCAAGTGTTTATTCCATTCGACAAAATATAGAACTAATTCATAGATACATATGTTTGTGATCGTGTGATGGTTTTGACTTACTTAAATTAGCTCGAGTCGCCCAAGCGTCAGTGTTAATTTAAGGATGTCGATCATTCAAAAATTGATCAACCAAAAGTTGCTTGGACGCAATTGGTCTAGGGACCTACCCATTATATTATTGCAGTGATCAGCCCAAGCTGGAATTGTAATAGTATGAATGAGGATTTTGGCCACTATGATTGTAAAACATTCCATGTTCCTTTTATTGGGGTCAAAGAGCATGTAAAAATAGTGGGAGCTAAATAATTAAAAGTCCAGATTATTTAGTTAACTAGATGTGATCATAGGAATTAATATATGATTTTAATTCCCATTCTATTTGAACTTCTCTGGGCTTTTAGGAATGTCGAATTTATCATTGAGAAGTATCTTGGATACAAATAATGTGATTGAACCAAACTTTCTAGACTTGGAACAAAATATGCGTTTCGTTCTTAGGCAAGAAAATATCGAACATGTATTTGATACATGTGTACCCGAGATCCTTGATGTTAGTTCTTCTGAATTAGCCATGTTTGACAAGGACATTCAGAAGAATCACATTGCTGAGGTACCAAATGATGTATATCTCTACTGCAAAGAGACAGGACATTGGAAGAGAGATTGTGAGATATACAGGACTAATCTAGCCAAAGCACCGAGTGCTTCTAGCTTAGGCATTTTTGTCATTGATATTAATATGTCTACAACTAACTCTCACTGTTGGGTATTAGATACGGCTTGTGGCTCACACATTTGCAATAGTGTGCAAGGCCTAAATGACAGTAGAGCAGTTAGGCTGGGTGAGATTGACCTACGTGTAGGAAATGGAGCAAAAGTTGCTGCTGAACGTGTAGGGACTTATATATTAGATTTACCCAGTGGTTATAGATTAGAACTAAATAATTGTTATTTTGTTCCTTCTATAACAAAGAACATAATTTCCATTCCTATGTTAGACATTGAGGGTTTTTCCTTTCATTTTGCTAATAACACTTGTTGTTTTTCACAAAATGGTATTGTGTATGGAAATGCTCCTCTTATGAATGGTTTATATGTTCTTAATTGTAGACATGACATATTAAATGTTCAAAATAAAAGACCAAGGTTAAGTAATCTGAAAAACACCACATATCTTTGGCATTGTAGGCTTGGTCATATTAATGAAGCCAGAATAGCAAGGTTAAGTAAATTAAATTACTTAACACCATTTGATTTTGAATCATATGGTAATTGCGATTCGTGTCTCTCAGCTAAAATGACGAGTAAACCTTTTCTTGGAAAAGGACTACGGGCCAAAGAAGTGCTTGAATTGGTTCACACATATGTGTGTGGACCATTCCCAACTCAAGCTAGAGGAGGTTTTTCTTACTTCATCACGTTTACTGACGATTTCTCTAGGTTTGGATTTGTGTATCTTATGAAACAAAAATCAGAAGCTTTTGAGAAATTCATGGAGTATAAGGCTGAAGTAGAGAAGCAACTTGACAAGAGTATCAAGACTCTACGATCTGATCGTGGAGGGGAATACTTGAGTAAGGAGTTTCTTGATTACTTAAAAGGTGAGGGAATTCAGTCACAATGGACTCCTCCAAGAACACCTCAATTGAATGGTGTCTCTGAAAGGAGAAATAGAACCTTGTTAGACATGGTTAGGTCCATGATGAATTCCACGTCTCTTCCAACATCTCTTTGGGGGTATGCATTGCAAACTTCGATATACATTCTGAATAGAGTTCCATCTAAATCAGTGCAAAAGACACCATATGAGTTATGGTGTAATAAGAAGCCTGTTCTTTCACATATTAAAGTGTGGGGTTGCCCTGCTTATGTAAAGAAATTGCACACTGATAAGTTAGGAGCTAGAAGTGAGAGATGTTATTTTGTGGGGTATCCTAAAGAAACTAGGGGATACTATTTCTATCATCCTGAGGAACATAAAATCATTATTTCCAGACAGGCACGATTCCTAGAAGAAGACTTGGTCTTTAAGGAATTCAATCGTGAGAAGATAGTACTAGAAGAAATTCAAGAATCACAAAATAACATAGAGGATGAAGACTTGTTAGATGGTCAAAACAAGGATTCAGTGGGAGGATTAAGCGGAAGTATGTCTCTAGGAGGATATCCTTCAGCTAGTGGGAGTAATATAGGAAGCACCT